CACAGTCTTCTTCGCTCTGGTACGAACTAAACTACATTAAAGCCAAAGGGAGGATGACGAAAGGCGACAGGATTTGGCAAATTGCTTTCGGCAGTGGATTCAAATGTAATAGTGCGGTCTGGAAATGCAATCGGAACCTTAAAAAACCGACAATGGACCATGAAATTACATATATCACAGTCAACAAACGGTCAAATAGACGGAGAACCAAATCGTGTTAAAATTACAAAGTTAAGGACTTAATTGGTTAAAATTGAAAATCGAGGACCAATTTGTGAATTTAGCTATAGTCGAGGGACCATTTTGGGTATTTACACTACTGGAAATTCTGAAATTTCCGACCACCAGAAAATTATCTTAAATCAAGTCGAAAGCCTTGTTCCGACCACTTTTGGTATCCGGAAAAATCCTTGTTGCTATTTCCGACCACTTTTTGCCTTCAACTTGATTTAAGATCACATTCAAGTGGTCGAAAATTCAATAATTTCCAGTAATGTTACTCTTTATAAATTATCATATTTTACAATTGGATTTAACATCAGAATTAATGTAGTTATGATACACTTTTTTATATCAGTTATACACTTTTATTTGTTTTCAGAAAGTTCACTCACTGTGGGTTAAGGTGAGGGTGGATTGGAGAAAATATAAATGTGGATAAGGTAGTGAATGTAATCATCCGGACGCATTGTCATTCTTAATTAGAATTTTTTAGTTTAATTACTTAATGTATGTTATATAAGTTATTTTATTTGCATTCAAAAAAAAAATAACTAATTTATTTTATATATGAATTATATAGATTTTTTTTTTTTTTTTTTTGCATTTTATGAACTTAATATTTTGAAGGTATTTAGGATGCCTAATGATTTTCTCATTATTCTATTTCATTCCAAAATACTATAAAATATGCGTACAATGGTGGCAACACTTCTATTATTATTATTAGAGTTAATACCTATAATAGTCGTTTGAGTATTAGCGATTTACTAGCTGTGGTCATCCGAATTTAAAATGACCTCCAATGGCTCTCCATATTTTAAAAAATAACTACCCGTGCTCCTTTTAGGACGTCTGGTGGTCATTTTAAACTCGAATTTTTTCTTTTTTTAAAAAATTAGGACCACGGGTGGTTATTTTTTAAAACATGGAGGACCACTGGAGGTAATAATAATAATAATAATAATAATAATAATAATAATAATAATAATAATAATATTATTATTATTATTATTATTATTATTATTATTATTATTATTATTATAAAGGATGCAGTGAAATGAAAGCCTTAGGTGAAAAATAAGGTGTAATCTTAGCCATTGATTCAGATTAGACTAACGTCCAGAATGAAGCAAATTCTTTTAAAAAATGGGGTGGCATTTTGGTAATTTTGTGTAAGTTAGTTAATTTTTTTTGAGAGTTCCAGTGCACATTGTCCCTTCATACAGTGCACATTGTTGTGTCTTACAGTGCACATTGTTGTGTCTTACAGTGCACATTGTTGTGTCTTACAGTGCACATTGTTGTGTCTTACAGTGCACATTGTTGTGCCTTCAGCATTTAAGTTCGTAGGTGTTATATATATATATATATATATATATATATATATATATATATATATATATATATATATATATATATATATATATAATTTTAAAGAGCATTTGATCTTGAAAGAATCACTAATTACTAATTTTAGTTGAATATTGTGATATTTTATGATTTGTGTTGAAGATCATGCATTAATTTAGTCTTTAAATAATTATTTCATATTTTCAACCTTACCATCCATTTTTCCTTTCTAGTGTTCCAGTGCACATTTTCCCTTCTTCCGGAGTACATTGTTGCGTCGTATAATGCACATTGTTGTGCTTTATAGTGCAGATTGTTGTGCCTTTAAGCTTTAAGATCGTAGGTGTTATCAGAATAATTTGGACAGAGTTTTTACCTAAAGAAGTACAAAATGGTCGAAATTCTAATTCAAAATACGAGTAACCCACCATGAAGACCCGACCCGGAAACCTTACCCATACCCTATTTAACCTAAAACCCTTCACCCACTAACCCTAGAGCTGTCAAAACGGGCCAGCCCGGCCCATATGGGTTGGCCCGTCTCGGGTTCAACTGGAAACGGGACGGGACGGGCCGACCCGTTTTTTCACGGCCCAACCCAACCCGTGTAGGATGGGCTGACGAGCCAGCCCGTTTATTCTTTTTTTTTTTTTTTTTTTTTTTTTTTTTAAATTTACGTGATTAAAATATTTATTATCGTATTGTTTAGGAATTGAACCCATGACCTCTAAATTAGTAACCAAGATTATTTCCAATCAACCACATTAACCATGATTAGCAAATATGTATATTTATATATATACAAATATGTATATACACATATAACATATACACATATGACACATACACATATAAAATTAGATTTTAATTTTTAATATGTAATTATAATTTATTTAATTTATATTTAATACTAATATATTTTACATGTAATATTTTTTATTTGTAATTATAATATATACTATTAAGTTATAAAGTTTATAAAATATATAATTTTATTTCTTTATGTAGTTTATATAATAAATAAACTTTAAATTAATATTTATATAATGATACAATTAATTGTATTAATTAATATAGATATATATTTAGTATTGCTTGTTAATGATGTAAATAGATATGTAATTATATTAAAATATTCAACATGTGTTCTTAGTGTAATTGTTTTCAATAGTAATAATTTGATAACTTAAGTAAAAGGTCAAGGGTTCAAGTCTTGTTAGCAATAATGTTTTAAATATTAAAAAAAAAAACTCAATTATACAACACATTTGGAAGTGGGGTGGGTGGGGATACGGGTTATACGGGCCGGCCCGTGTAACCCACGGGCCAACCCGTATAACCCGTATCCTCCACGGGTTACACGGGACGGGTTGGAAACGGGATAGGCTGGAAATCCTCCAACCCAGCCCGTGTAAAATACGGGTTAAACGGGCTCAATCCGACGGGTTGAACCCGTTTTTACAGCTCTAACTAACCCCTTCCTTCCTCCATACGTTTCTCAGCAAATCATACACCTTTCATCATCTCCAAGAAAACTTCCACGATCATCTTCATCCTCCTAAAACCAAAAAACCTCTCAAGTTTCCACTCCAATGGCGAAGAACACAAGATCAAAATCTTCCAATCCAGAGCCAAAGACCAGTGAAAAGGAAGTGATACCTTCCTACCTAATCTCAGATGAAGGGTTTAATCGATCAAGAGAACATCTTGTGCTCAGCGGTTTCATGTGGGATGCTCATGGGTTCTGCCAACATGTTCTTGACAAGAAGTATGGTGACAAAGTCATAAACTTTCTCAAAGAAGGTGGTCTTTACAATTTTGTCACGCATGTCTACAAATCCTTCTTCGCATACAACGTCACTGAATTCTATCTCAACGCAAAGGCTTCTCCAAACGCTGCTACCATTACCTCTATGGTAAATGGAAAAGAGATCTCTGTGACAAGCAAAGACATTCAAGAGGCATTCAAATTCCCAGAAAGAGATGAATCTTACCACTCCAACTTCTCTCAGCACACATTTGATCAACAGGGATTCTACGAGAACATACGGAACGCCCAATCCTCGAAAGAAATTGCGTGGCCTCTAAAGAAAAAATCCTTCAAGCTCGATTATGAGTTTACTGTAGACATCTTCAACAAGATTGTCGAGCAAAAGACATCAAGAACTGATGATGTCTCGAAGGATAAGCTGAAAATGCTTCATGCATTTCTTAATGGATTCAAAGTCGATTGGTCGAAAGTTGTCTTCGACTATCTTCGATTAAATGTGACCTCTGGCAAATCAGAAGATAGGGACATTCGACGAAAGATTAGATTCGGGTTCATGGTTGGTCATCTTCTAAACCACAAGAAAGTAGTTCTACGGGAAGGAAATCCTCTTGGACCAAAAGTTTGTCACATGAAATCAATGCCTCCCGGCTATGAAAAAAAAGAGCTTTAGAAATGGGATTCACAGCAGCAGCTTTACCAGAAAGGAAGTTAAAAAGAAAGAAGGGTCCTGACACTGAACCACAAACGAAGCCAAACCGAAGACAAGCAAAAAGAATCAAATCTACTCCAGTAGATGTTCCTGCCCCGGCTGAAATTAAATCTGATACTTCTGGATAGCCTGCCTCAAAGAAAAGAAAACTCACGAAGAAATCTCCTGAGGTCGAAACAGCTTCTGATTTAGCACCGAAACCTCCCCAAATTGCTCCATCAATCACAGACACGAGAGGAGTTATGAAGAAAAGAACCTTCGACAAAAAGAAGGTTGCCCTTAAGCCTTCCTCGAAAGTACAAAAGAAAATCAGTTCTTCATCCAAATCAACTCACAGTGAACGTTCATTGAAAGAAGACAGTTATGAAGAAGACAGCTCCGAAGTCAGTCGCGCAAAACAAGAAGAAGAAAGATTCCGGACCGTTCAGAAGGAAGTGCCAGTTGAACAACCCAAAATTGTTCCAAGCCATGCCACACCTGAAGAGTCTAGCTCAGGAACATGGACGAACTCTCCCGAGCATGCTGCTCAGGGGGAAGAAAACACAAGTTGCCCACCGGAGACAGGCAACCCTCGGTTCTTAAACAAGCACTTGCCTTAGTTAGACAGCGCAAGACAAATCTTATATCTGCTAAGTCAAAGAAGGCCGAAACAACCCTTACACAAGAACCTACTGCAGCAGAGCAGGTCGAAAGACTCTGACATAAGAACCTGCTGAAGTAGATAAGGACGAAAGGTTGCCACCTCTTTCAAAGGATCACTTAAGTCTCTCACAAGAACCTAGCTTGCCAGAAGAGACGAGAGAAGTGGTCAACAAGCAAAATGAAAATCCACCACCTTCACAAGATCAAATTCTTCAACAGGTCATCACAAATGCCTTTCAGCGAGTGTTACAATGGCAAAAATGGCGGACTTCATCTCTCGACTTATGTCTCGAAAGTTTTGATACAATGAGGAGTGAAGAGAAGTTTACTCTTGAGTGGCTTGGTACGCAAAACTTCTATGATGCTACACGAATCAAAACCATCAATCGGGTTTACTCATATAAAATGACGCACCGCAATCTTGCGAAAGGGAAAGCCCCGATCAATTTCGATATCAAGAAGCCACCATTTGATCCGGCGTTTGAAGCCGAAATGAAGGAACTCAGAACAACAATGAGGTTGTCTAAAATCAAGACTGAGCTCGAAAACATGCATCAAAATGATCCCGAATGTAGCACGAGCAAGACGACGAAAAATGGGCTCAGTGATGAACCTGCTGCTGAGGAAGAAAAAGAAGATGATGAAGATCACATGAATGATGACAAAGATAATGAAAATGAAGAAGACAATGATAAACAAAAGGATGATGATGGAAATGATGATGATGATGACAAAAATGATCCTGCTATGACGGCACTGTTGCTGTCCACGTCACCACCATGGAATCTGAAGAAAACTCTGAGCCCCATGCTGATCAACACGAAACTTCACATAGCGATCATGGCAATCCTTCAAATGAAGAGAACAACTTGTGTTTAAAATCCGCTAGTGATGGAAACACGGATGCGTCACTAAGTGCGAAACATGATAAATCTGAACGAAAGGAGAAAGGTGTTCAAGCCGCAGGACCAATTGAGCTAACACAGTCTGAAGCAGATACCATATTATCACTCCTAAGAATCATGGACGAAGAGTTTAGACTGCGCTGCAAATGGCTCAAAGCAACCTGAAAGCATAACAATCAGATGCTCAATGACCTATCCGCAAACGTGGCTCATGTTATGGAAAGTTGTCCACTGTACAGACAAGTCAAGAAAATCCTGGACTAAGTCCGCAAAAACGATTGCTGGAAAAGATTGTCAAAGAGAGAGTTGATCTTTCGTGCACGGAGATTGCCACAGTTCATGACAACATGTTCACGATGGCTGATTATCAACTCCAGATCTTAAATTATGTCAAGGAGCTAACTCTTGCAGTCAACAAGCTCTCAAAGCCCTCTGACCCAGCATCCGATGATACCAAAAAGGGGGAAAAGAGCAGTAAGAAAGATGATGATGATGAAGACGAAAGAAGAAGAGAAGTTTTTGAAAATAGACAAGGTGAAAGGATAAACAAAGATGATACAAGACCACAAAGGACTACACCTCCTCCCGCCTCCAAACCAAATCAACCACCTCCCTCGAGATCTCGTCACCATTCCTTAAGGCCTCGTCAATCTTATGGCTCTAGATCTGATTACTTATTTCAAGGACTCACTTAGAGAGAAAAGAAGAGCCTTCTTCAAAAATTGATGAGCGACAGATCAGTAACATTGGATGCTGTAGGAAATATTTTGAAATACGAGGAATATGAAGAAGGGAGTGGAAAAAGATTTGAAGGCCGCAACATGCCTACCTGGTTAAAGATGAGAGATAATCAAACAAGACAGGATTATCAAAGAAAGAGAAATGAGGAAATAAAGAGAGCAAATGAGAAACTTCGTTTTGAACAAGAAGAAGCCAAGAAAGAAAGAGAACAAGAACTAATCTACTTTCAAGAAACTCAAGAAAAGATAAAAGATGTTATATCGGTTGGAAGAGATGCTGATATAGGCACCAAGCATAATGCCGTGTTCAAAATTCATGAAGAATCTGGCAAGAGTTATGTAGATGGGATGAACTCAATTGAACTTGTGATGTGGTGGAATCTCAACATCATCCCAGGGCGAAATGTTCTTGAGGCCTATAACAACTACATGTCCTATAACTTGTCAGACAAATATGCAGAATTGGCTTGATCCAATCCCGTCCGAACCTTCAGAAAGTTAATCAATGATGACCTAGATATCCAGAAAATGTATAGGGATTAGAAGGATCGAGAGTGCAGAAGCAAAAACTTTTAAACATGTAATGGTTTTGTTAAATATTTTTGTAACCGAATGTTAATCTTGAATGAAATTTCATTTTGCAGGTTTGTTAAAATTGTATCTTTCTATAAAAGACTTATCTTGTAAGCTCTACTTTCAGGCTGTTTTTGTAATGAAAATCCTTTAAAGGATATCTTTCAGCCTGATAGCAAGAGTATAGGTTTTGGCATCATCAAAAAGGGGAAAATTGTTAGGAACAAGTGTACTTAGATTATGATTATACCAATCTTGCTAGGATCGTAGACCCCTCTTTTTACATTCTTTATCTTGGAACTTTCGTGTTAAACGAAAGCAGTAGCAACTCACCATGTGATTCGCAATTTGCAATACATCTACACGAATCTAAGTTATGTTTAGTAAATTAGGTCTACGAGAAGAAATGAAGAAGAAGAGAAGACCGAGATAACAGCATAGACCGAAAGATGGAAGAGTCTAGCTCTCGTGTAAACATCAAATGATAAGGAAAGTCATTTGATCATTAAAGACAACGAAAGATAAAGACAATATTTCGTTTGACAAATCCGAGACCATTAAGTCTAAGTCAGACTTAAATAGACAAATTTAATACACGCGCAAGAAGAATGTTGTCTATGTCTCACAGATGGGCAACCATCTTAGACAAAAAGAGTCATAGGAATGATATTCACAAAAACCAAGGAGCATTAAATGATTGGTACTTCATGTCAATGAAAAAGGACAAAAAACCATGTTGCTTTTTGACACCAATGGCTACACAGTACAACCGCAATAAATGCTCCATGCCCAATGGTTTTTACACTCTGGTTAATAGGTTTGAAATTTCATCTCCCTCCAACAGATGAATTTTTTCCTCACCTATAAATACCTATCTTCTCCACTGAAGAAGGGGCTGGTTGTTCAACTGATTTTATCATGGAAAAAAGCTCTTCAAACAAGTTCATCTTAAAGCTTTTTTAAAAACCAGTGTGTGTGATTGTGAAGTTTTCAAAGAAGCTCATTCAGACTTTACTCTTCACAATCCTCAAGAAGTCTTGCATCTTTATAAGGAGACTCATCCGTTCATCAAGTCAAGACTTCAAGCTGTTGGAGAAACACATCAAATCCATCCAACACTCAACTCTGAAGAAGAAGTTGATAGAGGCGGAGTAAACTCTAGGAGTTGAAAAACCTTCCAAGTAGGTGTCCGGCTTAGTGATCAAGGAAGCTAGCTTGAGTAGTTTGTACTAAGAGTGATAGTGCAAACCCTTTCACAAGTTGTGAAAGAATAGTGCAGTAAGCTTTGTTAATAGCCGAACCACTATAAAAATCTCTCTCTCCATCTCTCTCTACTTTCGTATAACTACTTATCTGGCATTGCATGCATATTGACCATACCTTAATCTTTTATAACGAAACCGTGCAAAGTTCATCTTAAAACGAATATACAATTTCCGCTGTGCATAACCCCGAAAAGAGTTAATAAAAAAAATCGATTAGAGTCTATTCACACCCCCCCCCCCCTCTAGACTCTCTTTCGACCCTACCAGGACAAACACTTTGTTTCCCGTGGTTGTGCCCCTACAACACCAAGAAATTTCAACCAAAGTCACACCCGTGCGTCTTTCTTGGCTACTCAAGCACTCAATCGGGTTATAGATGTCTAGATCCTGGTTCCAATCGTATTTATGTTTCTAGGCATGTTAGATTTGTGCCCCATGTATTTCCTTATAACGATTTGCAAAAATCATCTAGCAGCTCACCGTCTGATTCACATGGTTCAGAATTACGCAATATTTTGTTCAAATAATCCCCTTTGTCTACACAGGTAGCTATCATTCCCCCAGCTGCGCAATCACCCGCGCCGAGCTCTGTGTCTTCTCTGGGTACGTCTCTCTCTAACGTAGCTGGCTACCTGCAACCTGCGCTGGTGGGTGTTCCAATTCTAGTTCCAACTCCAGTTCCAACAACAATTCCAACACCGTTAGCTGCATCCAGTTCGTCGTCCCCCACTGTTCCAGAAAGTGGCCAACATGCAGGCCAATCTGTGTCTAACTCACATCCCGTCACCACCTCCGAAACGTCTCAACCGCTGAATAATCTTTGATGTTCTTCCCTGGAGCGGCGTCCTAATCCTAGGTATTCTGATTATGTCATTAACCAAGTCACATCATATCTCTTGCCACCCACTTTAGAACCTTCTACCGTCGCCCAGGCTCTTAAAGACGCTCGGTGGAGGAAAGCAATGGATGAGGGGTTTGAAGCACTCCAGTGCAACAAAACATGGCAATTGGTTCCCTGCGGAGCAGCGGTCCCGATTGGCTGCAAGTGGGTTTATCGTGTCAAGCGCAAACCGGATGGGTCTGTTGATCGGTACAAAGCACGGCTTGTCGCTAAAGGGTTCTTGCAGACTGCTGACCGGGATTATTTCGAAACATATAGTCCGGTTATGAAACCAGTGACCATCCGTGTGGTTTTGATTGTTGCCTTGAGTAATCGCTGGACTTTGCGCCAATTAGATATCAATAATGCGTTCCTTCATGGGACATTACATGAAGATGTGTTCATGGAGCAGCCACAGGGTTTTGTAGATCCCTCATTTCCATCCCATGTTTGCAAGCTAACTAAAGCTCTATACGGACTTAAACAGGCGCCTAGGGCTTGATATTTAGAGCTATCATTGTTCTTGTTACGATGTGGCTTTATGAAGTCACAAGCAGATACTTCTTTATTTGTCTATTCTGCTAATACTATCATCGTTTATTTCCTTGTGTATGTGGATGATATTATCTTAATAGGTAATCATGTTGCATTGCTTAATCGCTTTGTTGACAGTCTGTCAGCTCGGTTTGCTCTCAAAGATCTTGGCCCCTTACATTATTTTCTGGGCATTGAGGTGGTTCCAATACCTGCTGGTCTGTTTCTGACTCAAAGTCATTACATCACTGATATTCTAGTTCGGTTTAAGATGGATGGTGCAAAAGCTGTTTTAACACCACTAGCTACCTCGGAGAAGTTGCTGCCTGCACAGTCTGGTTCTGCACCGGTTGATGTCACTCAATTTCAGCGACTACTTAGCTTGTTGCAGTACCTGGTCATCACTAGGTCGGATGTATCTTATGCGGTCAATTGTCTTTCATAGTTCATGCACTCACCAACGGAGCTACACTGGCAGGCTGCTAAACTGTTGCTGCGCTATCTGAAGGGCACAGTTTGTCATGACCTGTTCCTCCGTACTGGCAACCACTTTCACTGAGTGTGTATACGGATGCTGATTGGGGAGGCTGCACTACTGATGGCCATTCCACAACCGCATACTTAGTGTATCTTGGTTCCAATCTCATCTCTTGTAAGTCTGCTCGCCAGAAGTCTGTATCGCGCTAGTCCACGGAGTCTGAATACCGAGCCTTGGCAAATGCTGCTGCAGAAGTCTTGTGGGTTAAGAATTTGCTTCGTGAGCTTTGGTTGCAACTAGTGAATCCTCTACTTCTGTTCTATGATAATCTTAGCGCGACATATGTGTGCAAAAACCCGGTGTTCCATTCACGTATGAAGCATCTGGCACTCGATTACTTCTTTGTTCGTGACTTGGTTGCTGATGGTTCACTGGTGGTTCGCCACATCCCTTCCAAAGATCAGCTAGCTAACTTCCTTACCAAGCTATTGGGTCGATCCATGTTTCTTCAATTTCGTTCCAGGATTGGAGTCTCCAACGGATCCTCAATCTTGGGGGGGGGGGGGGGGTGTTAAAGACATGTGCGGCTGATATATTTTGTTCTAATTTAGCTCCTGTAGAATAGCTATTAGACTAGTTGTTATAACTCCCAACTACCTTCTCTCATTTGTACAACTATTTATAGTTGCTTGTGTTTAATCAATAGAATTACCAGTTCATAATCTTAACAGAAACTGTCCTTCAAGAGCAATGATACCTAATAGAGGAAATATTTAGGTAACCAGGAGACTGCATATCTACAAACTGGCGAATGGGGCGGCGACAATGACGACCAACGACGATGGAAGCGATTGGTTAGATACGGTAGAAGAAGGCTTAATTTTGCTAAGTATTTGGAAACTATTGTGTAATAGAGACGAGGGAAGCGGGAAAATTTTGCTAAGTATTTGGTGGAATTAGATATTAGTGGAATAATTTTCAGAACTCAATAGCGAGAGTAACAACATTTTTCCTACCAATAGCGAGAGTATATTTTTAAAATAAATATAAAATTTAAATTTCGTCACTAGATCATAAACTTTTAGCTAGAGTAATTTTTAACCCTCACAAAAACTATGCTAAAAATACATTTAATGAGGAGAAAAGGGTCAAATAGACACCTGAACTTTCTTCAAAAGTGAAATTACACACTCAAACCTGTGAAAATGAGTCAAATAAGTCCAATTTAACGGTAACCAACCGGTAAATTATTGACGTTGACTGTCGTTGACCGTCGCTAATTACTATTCTTTGTCGTTCAAAACCGAAAAAAAAAAAAAATCCCGGCGACGATTTCACCAGAGAAGACGACCAGATCTCCATTAGAGAGGACGACCAAAGGTCGCCATCTCCAATGGAGAAGGAGGCCAGCCAGTGTAACACCCCCGATTTTACCAAAATTTAAAAGCTTAAATAAGAGATAAAATCTAAGCATTAAGCATAAACAAAGAGGAAGCTAGTCAACTGCAAAACGGGAGATGTTATACCACACCTATAAAACTATAGGTGCACAGGCTAAGGCTAACAAACTATCCATAAACAGAGTCAAAAGAAACAAGACATACATGCCATAAGTCTAAACAACGGGAAGCATAAAAACTACATTATCTAGGTCCACTAACGCGCTCTCCACACGCTACTCATAACCTGTAAAAACATAGGGATAACACCCGTCAGCGAGAGATGCTGGTAACCACCAATA